GATAACGGCGAGCACAGCATTCATTTGTTTCCCCATGTTTTTCACATCGGCTGTGAGATGGGCACGCATGGAGTCACAGATTAACAGAGATGAACCATCGATTCATTAATCTTGAATTCTCTCGCGGCTGCTTGATTTCCATGTTCCTCTGCGTAGCTGATAGCCTTCAGTTTAAACCTTGCTTCAGAGGCGTGTCTCTTTGCCATTTTCAGGTTTGTTGAGACCCTGTTTTTTTCCCCCTAATTTTACACGCCGGTTGTTGTATTCCTTGTATTCCTCTATCTTGACTCTGCTCTTCATCAGCAGCACCAGTGACTTGGGGAATGATGACTTTAAGCCTCCAGAAGAAGTGGACTACGCCCGACTGAGCTGCCTGCAGAGGTGGACGGAGAAGAGGCTCGACACTGTCGTCATCACCATGCCAGGAAAAGACAGAGATCTCTACAGGCTGCTGTGTAAGAAAGACAACAGGGAATCATTGCTATTTAATATAGGATGAAAAAAAAAGAAATCTTCTTCTGTGTACAGATGGGACCGTTCCTGCTATGGACAGAGATACAGCTCATCCCAAGCTGCAGCTGTCTGCCAGCAACCGGAAGGTCATCTACAGCGAATCCCCGCAGGGCTACACGGAGCACGACGCTCGCTTCAGCTCCTTCCCACAAGTCCTGGCCTCTTCCGCGCTGGAGGGCGGCCGCTGGTACTGGGAGGTGTCCGTGTCTGTGGACGACGGGCGCTGGAAGGTGGGTCTGTGCGAAGGTCAAATCGAAAGGAAGGGCCAAAAGGACAGCTCTCGCCTGGGCTTCAACAGCTACTCCTGGTGCCTGGCCTGCGACAAGAGGAAGCTGGAGGCCGTGCACAACAAGGAGGCGGTTCCCGTGAGGGCGGAGGGGCTGCAAAGGGTCGGGGTGTTCCTCGACTTTGAAGAGGGCAGTTTGTCTTTTTTTAATGTGACACCAGGGGGCAGTCTTGCTTTATTGCATTCTTTCCAGCACAGTTTTTCCGAGCCTCTCTATCCTGCCCTCTCTGTGTCTAAAACCCACCTGACCATCTGTGACCTGTTCAACTCATAATCCAAACATCTCAGTTCCGTTCACTTTTACAACATTTGGTAAAGATTGTGCCTTTTTATGTGTTTTTTTTTTTCTGATTTTACATATATAGAAATATGAGACTTCTTAATCTCATTAAGATGATAGTTTTATACTCTGATTTAACAAAAAAATGATGTGATTTGAAATGATTTTCTAACACTGGAATTATACCAAGGTTTTACACAATTACTTAAGTAATTCTTAAACATTTTACCTGCTCAAACATTTTCTTCTTGTTTTTATTTTCCATCTGCCGCACGCTTTGCTCCTGTGAAAATAAAACCCCCTTTTCAAACACGAAGCCGAGCCTTCATTACTGCCATATATTTGAGTTCAAATAGAAACAAAAGGTGTGGGTGGTTTGTTTCCCTTGAACTGACGCTAACTTTGAAACCCCCGCAGCTTTTTACCGTCAACAAACAGCACCTCTGGCTTTAACTCCTCGGAGCGTCTCGGATCCAAACGGATGTGAAATCGTCCTTTTCCTTGAAGTATGTGGCTCATTTATTCTGACTCGAGGGGTCTGCGTGAATGACGTCATCGAGCCATGCGAGAGTGTTTACCAGGACTCCTGGATGCTAACTCGGATGCAGAGAGCCACTTGTTTGTGTGGCAGCTGTTCGTGGATTGCAGTGAATTTGGGATTATTACAGTAATATAGCTGAAAATGACTCCATGAAAATACTTTTTTCTCTATTTGAACAATAGCTCTCAGGGTAATAGAGCCTGGTAAATTGTAATCATCCCCTAAATGACTCCCTCCTCTTCTGACAGTCCTGCATTTGGCAGCATTTCAAACATTTACTCATGCCTACATGCACACAGGTGCACCATTCAACCATGACAATAATTTCACACGTGGAGCCTTTCGATTCCTGAGGTAATCATAAACCTTTTGCTTTGTTCCCCCACCTCCTCCGTCAGCTGGTGTGTGGAGGGGAGGAGGCGGACATGTCTGAGGGGAGGAAAGGGTGTACTTTAACACAGTTAATTAAATTCTCTTCCTTCTCATCCAACGGATCTCAGAATCTGTCAGGCTCTCATAAGCCGGATTTTTTTAGACTTGGTGCCCATAGTGAGCTGGAAGAGGAAGAAAAATGATCAGAAGCTTTGATTTTTTGGGGGGTGGGGGCAGGATGAAGTACTCATGATGAAGAACTAAAGGACTTCCCTTTATTTCCACCGTCAGGCTAAACGGATTGTTTTTAATTAATATAAAGGAAGTGAAGAGCAGACAAGGATTTATTAGCCTTTAAAATATATTCATTAAAATATAATTTTCAATTGTCATTTAAAGTCAAAGTCCGGTCAGCAAGGAATAATCAATGGATCATTATCTATACCTAAAACTAATATCAGGGTTTCCGTGGCTTATGAAATGTCATTAAATTATAATTTTTTTAAATTAAGGCCTTAATTGGCAATAAAAGTGTTTATTGTGGAATTTAAAATGCTTTCTTTTAAAAAAAAATGTTTATAAAAAAACTATTTTCTCAAACATTATATCACGATATATTTGTGTGGAGCTGCTTCCGGTTGATCGCAAAGCCGTATGTTCAGAAAAAGCTAGAGAACGGTAACCTGACTCCGCCAGATGGATTTGCTCCG